CACCCGCATACCCCTCAGGCATGAAGCTACACCTTATGACAAATTTCACTGGGCTGCACATGGTAGACGTTTTACTGGGCCGGGGGAGGTTGACGGGCCATGTCACCACTAGATGGCTCTAGGGGCTCAGTTCTGGCGAGGATGTAGAGTAGCAGATACACGCCGTACCCCTACTACAATAATAGGCGGTGCTGGGGAAAGCGGGAGCTAGGTCCCTGGGAGCATCTGTCTATCTTTCTATCTGACCTGTTTTCAACGCAGTTATGTTTACCTACTGTTTATTCACTGTCAAATTTACAAAATAAAATAAAGAATGACAAAAAAAAAAAAAGACTTATTAGAAATGAAGAATCTCTATAAAATGATACTGTGTTCTCTGCATGACAGGTGCACCGTTTACCTTGAAATTTAAAGCAGATCTGATTGTTCTCCCCCAAATGGGCATTTCATAAAGACAAAATCTTTATAAAATGCTCACAAAGACTGTGTTTAAATTTCACTGAAAGGGAGGAGTACATTGTCTTATGTATTTTTCCTGTGCTTGACAAAAAGGTGGAGCTATTGCGGTCAAGCTTTGTCAAGTCCTCCACCGTCAGAAAATCCAGAAAAAAAGGTTAGTCTACGGAGGATTCCATGGTTTTGCGAGATCCTCCATATACATTATTGTTGTACTCTCATACACGCGTCACAGCATAGACGTCGCATCCTGGCAGATGATGAGACAGGAGCTGAAGAGGACCAACAGGAGCATGATGGCAGCAGCCATGAGGGTCAGCTTCAGGTAAGTAAAACTCACCTTTCAATGCACCCCACGGCCACCGCACACCAACTGTCAGCCACCATTGTGAGTCTTTGCAAAATATACAAGGACTTCAGAAGGGGACCGTGCCACTTTAAAGGAACTATTCTGTTTCTGTTGTTCTAGATACAGTATCATTGAACTGTACATCCCGCTGCGGGTGTTTGAGAACTAGAAACTGGATTGTCCGGTTTGAAAACGGCATGACAGTACCTTACGTGTAAACATGTTTTCAACCTGATAAAAAAAGATCTGTCGGCAGTGCCAAATCATACTAAAAATATTTCTTGGAAAACATGACAGCAAACGAGATTTAAAGTGTACCTGTCCTGAATAACATTAACAGTAATTCACTGGTAAAGAGGAGAAGTAAAATCTGTCCGCTGTGTTAATTACTCTGTCATTTGTATAAATACAATAATCTACTCGGTTACCATTCCTTATGGAATTTTCGAACAGGAAGTCCTTGTATATAAATCAAACCATTGATTCAATCATTCGTTTTTAACTAATTATAACTTTCACATAAATGTAAAGGCTTGGCCTGCAGTTGTGGGAGGGGCATGGTACCTATTTAAACCCCTCTACTCACCTTCCTCCGTCCCGTACGTTTTTTAGCGACTTGCATGTCGCTATTTCCGGCCATCATTACCTCCCCCTTACCTGGTCCTCGTGGCTCCATTGCCTGGCCTGCTGTTTTCCCGGATACTCGTTTGTCCACAGTCCTCCTGAGGCTCTGCTCCCTCTCTTGCCGTCTGGTGCAATTATAATGGCCTCCGCGGGCATCCTGCTTGCTGTGGTCTTGTGGGCAGGTAGAGATGAATTGCAGGTATGCCTCGGCCGTGACTCTGGGGGGAGGCTTCAGCTCTGCTGTGGCGCTGCTCGCCTCCTCGGTTGGCTCAGCTTGCTGCGCGTTCTCTTTCCGGCATTCCTGGCTGTCGGCCACCCTTGCTGTCCACGGCACTGTCGCACGTGCACTTATGCACTCGCTGGCAGTCATGCATCCATGTGATCACAGTTGTATTTGGGTGCAGTTTCAGGAGGAAGGTAGGGACCATTATAATAGGTCAAACTGCTCAGGTACTGAATGCATACATTTATTTTTCTACCTAAATCGATTTTTACAAAGGAGAACTCAGCAGACCCAATACCTACTTGTACATGGTCCCTGGGTTACACCTTGCCCTAGAACACCTCCCAGGAACATTTAGCTGGATATTCATTACATGTTTTTATCTTTATGTGCTATTATATAGTGGGTGCAGGGTTTTACCTAGAACCTCCAGAGGTGCAGTTCTAGTCTGCTTCTAGATGGCAACTCTCAAATGCTATCTAAGTGCTACTTTGATTTTGCTACAGTTCACGGTTGAGTGGATAATCCCCTTGGCCCCTTGGTGTCTCCACTGCCTTTTCCTTTTTTACACTGTATGTGTAAGTACAATATAATCTGCCCCTGTAGTTATTGTTAATTATAAAAAGCCAACTAATTTTGGTGCACCCCCCCACCCCCAGATACTATTAAAAAATAAAAAATGAGAGGGTGTATCTCGTTCGAGTTTCCTTCCCTATTGTTTCAATGCGCGGTCTTAAGCTATGTGGTTGCTAGTAACGAGTTGTTTCGGTCCCATCACGGGGTCTGTCCTGCGTTTAACTTCGGGCTTTCGTTTCTTTGCTTGGCAGGCCCACGTCTGCCCGCCATAACCATGCTGAGTTATTTTCCAGAAGGAGTGTTATGTTTTTGTTACCGGGAACATGTTCTGGCATTTACGAGACCTGTGGGCTGTACACGCGCATGCGCTTTCTGTTCCTATTTTCCTTGTGTACTCCTACAGCCTGACCACCTGGACTCAGGCGGGCTCACTCTGCCCTCCAGTTACGGTCAGCCCTACGATTCTCCCTCGTACCCCGGCCCCCTTTTTTTTTTTTTCTTTTCATTTCACACAGTACGTCCCCTCTCTCAATCATTACTCTCCCCTCTTAGTTAGCTGCCACAACATTTCAGTGGCCACGATATCCCCTCGCGCCAACGCATAGATAGAGCCTCTCACGCCGCTTGGCATCTAGCAGGGCCTCACCTGTCACCAAACCTAGTTTTAATTGTTTTGCCTTTTGGCTTAGCTAGTATGCCAGCACTCCCGCACACGATTTCACATACACACGCTCGCACTGGGTCTCGTGACCCCTGTGGGGTTTACACCACCGCGGTTTCTGTTGCCTACTGCCGAGCTCGCTCCTTTCAGCCTGTCCGCTTGGACTCTGACATGCTTACTCTGCTTTCGGTTACGGTTGGCCCTGCGGTATTTCCTCGTTCACCCTCACGTTTTCGATACATGTTCAGCACATCCGTCCTCTCTCCCACTACCTTCCCTCCTCTCTTAATTAGCTGTGGCTGGCTGTCAGGGTCCTAGGGTCCACTAGTTTGTAATTCCACCCCTGGCTTCTTCACCTTAGATTAGTGGTCCCGCGAGACCAACACCCATCCTCATACTCTGAGGTCCCACTCCCGTGGCACTGAAGGGGGAAGAAGGGGTTAATCCCTTACCTTTACTCCAGCGCCGGGCTCCCCCGGCGCTGGGACTCTCCTCCCTCTTCTGACGTCACCGGCTGAATGCGCATGTACAGCAAGAGCCGCGCGCAAATTCAGCCAGTCTCATAGGAAAGCATTATCAATGCTTTCCTATGGACGCTGGTGTCTTCTCACTGTGAAAATCACAGTGAGAAGCGTGGAAGCGGCTCTAGCGGCTATCAATGAGACAGCCACTAGAGGCTGGATTAACCCAGTTTACAGCAAAAAGGGTTAACCCTAGATGGACCTGGCACCCAGACCACTTCATTAAGCTGAAGTGGTCTGGGTGCCTATAGTGGTCCTTTAAGGGATTAATTTTATTTTTCACACATCACCAAAACACATTTGTTAAATGTAGGGATAAGTAAACATAATATTAATAATTATATAATTTTTTTTAAAACCTGGGAAGTGACTGTACCCCTTTAATTCAGCCTTGTAATCCTTATCAATCAATACAGAGTTAAGATCCTGGCTGTGCACAGTGATAGCTAACATTTAGCACTCTTTAGCACTGTCCCCCATTATGCTCAGCCATGCGTGTGGCAGGCTGAGCACAATGAAAAACATGGTTCAGAGCAGATAAAGATGCTAAGAATAATCATCCCTTTGCTACGCCCTTGGTAACTGTATAGTTTATCACTGCGGGCTATAGGATGTTTCAGAACACTGCAGTTCAGATGAATTCAATTTAGAATTTGTAGAGAAGGATGGCCCAGGACGTGACGTTATCGGCTAGACTCCTTCTGTGTGCATGTGATACAAGGCACGTATAGTGTAGTTAAGTGATGCACAGCACGTTTTGCCTGTAACATTGACACGCCTCTCTGGGCAATGAGCCAACATGAGCTCCTGGCACTATGCCAGTGCTGAACCTGGGGACACTGATTAGTAATTTTGGTCTTACAGAGGAAAAAAAACTGCCTCATGCAACATCCTACTGGGGTTGCATGCTGTCTGGGTACTTCCTACAGTCTGACACATAGTTCTGGCTAATACGGTCATTGTGCAAGGGAGCCCAGTCACACCATCACAGGCAAATAGGTCCTCACACACTGTGCTGACTCACACGCCAATGATGCAATGTGGGACAACATTTTCACAGTAGGAAATCGCCTATTCCACTATCATTGATGTAAGCAAAGTGTAGGTTTCTCTGAAACTCAGATAATGTCAGCAACATTTTTGCTGTGTTTAAATTGTTTTTTGGTGTCTAAAGTATTCAATTTTTATACAGGATATGCCTTTTATTACACACATGATTTAATAATGAAAATATACAGTATCTCACAAAAGCGATTACACCCCTCACATTTTTGTAAATATTTTATTATATCTTTTCATGTGACAACACTGAAGAAATTACACTCTGCTACAATGTAAAGTAGTAAGTGTACAGCCTGTATAACAGTGTAAATTTGCTGTCCCCTCAAAATAACTCAACACATAGCCATTAATGTCTAGACTGTTAAACATTTTACTCTGAAAGGACCAATATTTTATATTAGAAAAAGCAATATATAATATATGTATTACTTAATCATCTGGGATGGCAAGACATAGCCTTACAAATGACATGCAACAATATATGGCGCAATGACTTATGGGGCTGGCATATATTTTTTTTTTTTTTCCCAGGGCTGCTTTGTATCCCCAGTCCGGCCCTGCAGCAAGCACCTCACTGTGCTAATCAATATCTTCTCATAGAAATGCATTCTAGCTATGAATTTCAGTGGGGAGTGTTGAGTCTTGCAAAGATTGCAGGTACGTATTAGGAAGTACCTCTAGTGGCTACCTGAGTAATACTAGTGGAGGTGTTCTTAGGAACAAATGTACACACTGATTTTTTTATTTTTTTTACAGCAAAATCAGTGTTTATAGTACAGAAACTGCAAAAAAAGACTGCATTAACCGTAGTGTTTCTGTAGTTTAACGTCCCTTTATGCTGCTGACAAAGGTTAAATTATTTTGAACTAATAGAATAAACAACTTGAACAAAATTAACACGTAAGTAACATTGTAATTTATTTTTATTTATGTAGACCTAATTTAGTTATATGTGATGGATATATTAAAATTTGTTGGCTTAAAAATAACAAAGTAAAGCACGTTATATACATTCCCAATAAGGATTGGATGTTTACATAGGAACTATACAAATGCAAGCGAACATTTAATTCCCTCACTGACAGAAGCAGAACTACTTTCTGAGCTGCAGAGGGGTTAGAATTTCAAATGGCTCCTGATGTAACATCTCTTGGACGTTACAAATTCAAGCTCAGGGTGACTCGCGTTTATTAAATGCTCTGACAGTCACACTATCTCTGTTTAAAGGAATGCCCTAAAGCTTAATCTGATGCAATTTTGGAAAGAATCGAACACTGACATTTTAAAGTGCTTTACCAATGGAAAAGTGTATACTGACGTTCAAAAAATGACTAAATTAGAAAAAAAAAAATAACTCCACATTTGTTCTGGAATATTCAACCAACGCAAAACTGTGAAATGATGAGTAAAAAAGAATAGGAAAATAGATCACAACAGTAACGAGTTTATTGTTTAAATGACGCCTTATTATTATCATAATTAAATTCAGCCACAGTTCCAATTGCAGAATTTCTTTCTAGATTCAGTAATGATTTTACTAATCATTTCAGATTCAGTAATTTTCCTAAATTGTAACCTTCTTATCCGTGCGTGTGTGTGTAGGTGAATGAAACAGCAGGTTTTACAAGAACACTATAGCGTTAGAAATAAACATTTGTATTCCTAAAACTATATTGTTCTCCTAACTATGTAGTAATTAGTTTCCAACAAAGACTATATACTTTCCTTTAAGTCCTCCTTGCTGTTTTCTGCCCTGCCTCCCCCAGCTGAGATTAATAGAGAACTAATTCTGACTCTGTTCTCACAGGGGAAGGCACCTCTGGTGGCAGTCAGGAAGACCGCAAGGTGTTCACCTTGCAATCATGACATTGCCAGACATAAGAATAAAGGGCTGCGGCAACCAGATCACTTCAGATGAGATGTTGTGGGTGCCTCCAGTGACCCTTTTGCATATTTTCAAAATTCACCTAAAGCAGATCGTTTTCATAGCTTATGGGCATGTTAACATATTACAACAATTTGAGTAGAGGTAAAAGCATGCCTTCCCTTTAGTCCACCTTTCCTATTACACCAGAATATGACTTATGTGGCATCCTACTATTCACCATCCACTTCCATAAACAACTACCTTTAACCCCTTAAGGACTGGACTGTTTTTGCGATGTTGTACATTTGCGACCAGGCATATTTTTACACTTTTGTGGTGTTTGTGTTTGGCTGTAATTTTCCGCTCTCTCATTTACTGTTCCAATACAAATTATATATTGTTTTTTTCAGGACAAAAGGGGCTTTCTTTACATACCATTATTTATATAATCTCTTGTATTTTAATTTTAAAAAAATAAAAAAAATATGATGAAAAATTGAAAAAAATAAAAAATTTTTACTTTTACTTGAAAAATCTTTTACTCATCTACAAAAGCGAAGGGGAAAAAAACTGCTTAATAGATTCAAAATTTTGTCCTGAGTTTAAAAATACCCAGTGTTTACGTGCTTTTTTGCTTTTTTTTTGCATGTTATAGAGCTATAGGTACAAGTAGGATATTGCAGTTTCAAAACATACATTTTTAAAATTTATCAATAGTGACATTGTAAAACTATTATCTGTCATAAATCTCTGAATAACACCCCACATGTACATTTTTTTTTAAAGTAGACAACCCAGGGTATTCAATATGGGGTATGTCCAGTCTTTTTTAGTAGCCACTTAGTCGAAAACACTGGCCAAAGTAAGCATTCATATTTGTTTGTGTGTGAAAAAAGTAAAAAAAAACTAAATTGAACGCTAATTTTGGCCAGTGTTTGTGACTAAGTGGTTACTAAAAAAGACTGGACATACCCCATTTGCAATACCTTGGGTTGTCTTCTTTTGCAAATGGTATGCCATCATAGGGGTAATTCTCATTCCTGGGCTACCATACGCTCTCAAAGGCAACGTAACCAACCTGGCCATTTTCAATGTAAAAATATTTGACCCATATATTTGACCTTGTAACTTTCAAAAATACTATAAAACCTGTACATGGGGGGTACTGTTTTACTCGGGAGACTTCGCTGAACACAAATATTAGTGTTTAAAAACTGGAAAACGTATCACAACAATTATATCATCAGTAAAAGTGCTGTTTGTGTATGAAAAATGCAAAAAAGTCACTTTCACTGACAATATCATCACTGTGATATGTTTTACTGTTTTGAATCACTAATATTCGTGTTCAGCGAAGTCTCCCGAGTAAAACAGTACCCCCCATGTACAGGTTTTAGGGTGTCGTAGAACGTTACAGGGTAAAATACAGTGCTAGCAAATTAAATTCTCTGGACTTTTGGCCTGGGTTGGCAGACAGGTCCCTCAAATTGCAATCAATAAAATTACTTATTATGTAAAAATATTACATAAATAAGCACGTAGAATTTAAATATATATGCATATTTATATATTTGAAGTCTACGTGTATATTTATATAATTATTTATGTAATTTTGTATATGGACATATGTATATTTTGTATTATTTTTATTTATATATACATAGATATATATACAAATTCATTCTAAGTGTATTTTGATATAAATATATATATATATATATTAATTTTAAAATACAGTTAGAATAAAATTTCATATATATATATTTTTTTTCAATTTTTATTATTTAAATTTTTTTTAATTTAATTTACTTATTTATATTTTATAATAATATATATATACAATATATTTAGTTATTATATTATATATATACGTGTGTAATTTAATTATAAGTGTATTTTTATATTAATATAAGTACATATTAATATAAAAATACACTTAGTATGACATTATATATATGATATACAGACATATATTATATTGATATAATATATGTCTGTATATCATATATGTATACACATATATAATTTTTTTTTATTTTTTTATAAACACTAACTTTATTTTTTTTTTTGATTTTACACTAGCAGGGAGACTGCCTTTCAGCACAGGCAGTCCCCCTGCAGGCAGACACATGGACACCTATTGTGACCATGTGATCGCTGTGTTAAGCTAATTCAGTGTGGGGAGACTGTCTGGGCTGCAGGCAGTCTCCCCACAACGGGAGCAACGCTGATCGCCGCCGGGGGAACGACGGTGATCAGGTACGTAACTAGGACCGTTAGGATGGTTCGGGACTATCAGCGGTCGGCAATGGGAAAATGCCGATGACGGTCCTGAACCGTCCTCGGTCCTTAAGGGGTTAAAGGAACATTATAGTCACTAAAACAACCACAGCTTAATGTAGTTGTTCTGGTGAGTATAGTAAGTCCCTACATGCTGTGACAAAATGCCTTTTGTCACGGGGGTTTCATGTGACAAACTGCCCTACCCCCCTGTCTTATGGAGAAGCTGGATTGCTAGCCTCTTACCCTGGGATGCTGGCCCTTTAAGTTATTGGGTCTTAAGGCACTTGGGACAGAGCCCTTTGTCCCTGGATTGCATCGGTTGCCGTACTTGCTTGGATTTTACATTTGCCCTGATACATTCGTATGTTGGTTCGTGTAGTTAAACTTCCCTTACAGCTGGATTAGGGCTGTTCGTACAGACGAACAAACTGCCGAACGGTCGACCACCCGGTCTGTGGCGTGTGCTGTGGTTAACCGCAGCTTAATTGTCGAATGCCTGGGTGGAGGGTGTTCGTCTGCCGAACACGTGGCGGTCGCCATTTTAAATTGTCAAAAGCCCAGCGGTAAATGGCGGCGATGCCCTGGAACTCTTTTCAGACACTTATTCCGCCGAACACCGCTGGTGCCTACCAAGGTCCTCGTTCATACGGCTGGAAACACGCGAACGTCTGGCGAAAGCCAAACTTCAGTCGACGTTTCTGAGAACTGTGTTTGTGGGATCTGAGCGCTATTCGCCTAGAATATGCACTCAGATCCAAGCTATCTGGGGATATGTGGGACTTAAAGCTTATGTTCTGTAAAATGGAAGTTATAGATTTTTATGCTGTTTTGCTAAAATAAGAAAAGCCATGTTTCTTTCTACCTGGAGATAATTAAGGCTCTTTTTACTCACTTAAGTTAATTATCTCCAGGATGGAAAAGAGGGAGTGATTTATGGAAAGGGGAGTGATTATGCTATAGCCACTGTGATTGGCTACTGTGATACTTTTGTCCCAGTCTTCCATCTGGTCCCCTAGGGGAGTGTCCACCAGGTGGGAGACCTGCATAAATACCGGGCGGGTAGCCCACAGTAAATCAGATCGTTTTACCCCTTCATGAAGTCTCAACTCATGTTTGGGGGATTGGGAGTTATAATCACTTTGTTTCAGCTGGATTTCGGGAGACGCTGCGAGGATCATCGCTGCACGAATAGAAGGATCCTTTACACATGCTTTTTCCTGTAAACACTGCCTTTTCCCTTTTTCAGCCTCGGAACACCTCTAGTGGCCACAACTCATGACTGACCAGGGCGGCATTTGGCTCCACTGCTGACCCGCCTCCTTGGATGATATTATCAGATTTGTCAATATCAGCCAATCCAATGCTTTCCTATTGGAAAACATTGTGATTGGCTGAGATAATTATTTCTGATGTCCGCCAAGGAGGCGGATCAGGAGCTGAGCTATATTTAAGGGGGGAAAGAGCATTAAATAGTGTTTTTAACACTATTGGGTAAGGAAAACACGTTTGTGTTTCTTTAAATTTTAGCAGTCATAGCACACAAAACTATTCTCCATGTCCAGAAACTGTTCAGTGTCCCTCCCATGACCCTTTGCAAATCTGTCCTTCGCCTTTTGTATGAACTGGTTAGAAAGGTAATGTGCAACCTTTATAACCATTCATATAGCTCTTAGGGATACTTCAGGCATCAAGTGACTCCTATTTCTACCAATATTTTATATAAATATATTTAAATTATATTTAAAATTTTTGCATTGACATTCATGTGATTTTCTCTGGTTTGAGAAAAATCATTAATTTACTTTATAAGAAAATTTACCTGGAAAAAAATGCAGAGAATTATTCTGGCATTATATTTATTATTTGTAACCCCTATCAGTGAGCCAGGTTAACATGTACACTCTAGTATAGAATGCTATAGGTCACTAGTGTTCCAAACCTCTGAACTGTTATGAGGTTTGAACATTGTGCAGTATGTAAACCACATGCCTGTCACTTTGAAGGATACATTTCTTATTCCTAAGCCATCATGAATGTACCTCCCTGGACTGACAAGAAAGGGAGAACCTGACTGATGCCTGAGTAAAGAGGTCGGGACCAGAATGTATACATTGTTGCTAATTGACAGAAGGGATAAAAGGGGGGGGGAGAGGACTCACCAATTTGTCAAGAAAAGTGTAGGGATCCTAACTTTTCTGGCTGGCTGGTTGACTCTTGGGAAAAAAAAAAGACAATGTTCAGATTTCTGCTACCTCTCTCTCCTGTGTTTGGGTATCGGCTCCAGAAGGATGGCGACGTCCAGGGAATCCATGGTAGCCTTGTTGCAGGCCTACCTTGTGGTCAACGGGTCTGGGGCCCTGGAGGAGGTGATGTCCGGTGTGGTTCCTGTGTTGGGAGGGTCTGGAGACCTGGCGGCTGCTGTGGAGACACCCGTGGGTGGACGGAAGGCCAGGAGGCTTATCCCCCAGTCCGTTGAGGAGGTGATACCGGTAGGAGAGCCGGGACCTATGGCATGTCGGATTCGGCATTCCCCACAGTGAAGAGAGGCAACAGGCAGGCTGGAATCGGTGCAGGGGACTGTGCCCAAGATGGCGGTGCTGTGGTGGGAAGATCCCGTAGTCCACCTTCTCTTCTGGCACGGCCAGAAGTGAGATCATCACGTCAGCGGCAGTGTTCGGCACCGCTGGAAGTGATGCGGCAAGGTGAGAGGGCATGGATTACGTCATTGTGGGACGCATACATGATGGCAGCACGTCAGAACGTGACTGCGTCACAAGCCCTGGCGCCGGAAAGGGGCTGGATGGCCAGAAGAAGACAGAGAGACCCGGAGATGGAGAGTACAGCGCCAGTTGGAGCTCGGGAGATCGCAGGTCACAGCAGAAATGTCGGGACCGTAAGGACCCTGGCTGGGCCTGATTCGGAGTCTGATGAGTTGGAGCAGGATGAACCAGTGGAGCAGGTGTCTGGGACTCCTCAGAGGTTTGGTGAGTTGGCCTGAACTAGCACTTGGGGGGATTCAGGTGCTAGTCAGGGTTCTGTGCATGCTTAAAGGGGTTTTGGATAGGCTCCAAGTGCAAATGGGGGGTTTTGGGGAGGTTCCTTAGGTAGAGCCCAGTTCTCTCCCTGGGGTTGGTTTGGGGTCTGGGATCCGCGACCAGCTCTTTCATGATCACTGTTGTCACTGGGGCCAAGTCTGGGTGAGAGGCAGTAGGTTTGGGAGCCCTCCACTCCATTGTGAATCCTTCTGCCATTTCCAGTTCCCAGATCTCATTGTCGTTGTCTGAGAAGGCTCTACGCCACTCTGGGCCTGGCGCCATAAGTCACCGATATTCATGCCCATGCTCTGCTTCTTGGGTCTTGTTTCTTTGTTCTTCCTCCCCATATCGTGAGGGTCAGTTGCTGGGTTGGTTTGCAGGTTTTTTGGAGTGATATAAACCCCTTGAATCATTTGTGGATGAGCTTTTCAGTACGGAGCTTGGACGACATGCGGCCATTCAGTTCAGTAGCTTGGCTCCGCCACCCAATGTTATGTTTTTTTACCTCAGCTGAGAGCGCTGGGATACGACACCCTCTAGTCTTCCCATGGTTCCCATATTTTGAGGAACAATGAATAAGTGTCTCTTATTTGTGCTGTTACTTTATCCATGAGGTGGGCCTCCTTGATATTGCGGGTGACCCTTTCCATTTGTGGCATGTCGGTTTGCAGCCAGGTTTGTGCCATGGCTCTCCTAGCGGCCAGATTTATTTTGTTGAACAATTTTTGCTCTTTATTGGACAGGGTGTCAACAGGTCTAGCTATTAAGAATGTCCAGGGATCCGGTCTTATTGGCCTGCATAGCACTGCTGTCAGTAGGCGGGCTACTTCCTCCCAAAAGGTCGCTACTTTGGGGCAGGTCCACCACATATGGATATATGTGCCTTTTTCCCCACAACCCCTCCAGCATGTGTCAGTAGTTGTTTTGCCCATGTGGTACAGCTTAACCGGGGTGGTGTACCACCTCATAAGCATTTTGTAGCATTGTTCTTGGTGTAACACGCATATGGATGCTTTTGCTGCTGCCTCCCATATGTCCTGCCACTCACCCCCCTCTAATGTTTGTTGTAGGTCAGTTTCCCACTGTGTGACATATGCGGGGGTGTAGGTCTTATCCGCTGGTGCGCTTAGTTGTGTATAAAGGAGGGTGATGAGGCCGGCACGTGGTCCATTAGACATGCATAGTGTTTCATAGAAGGTTAGCTTGGCATTGGCGGCTGTCCGCACTTGTGCACTTCCGGCAAAATCCCGGAGTTGGAAGTACCTAAAGTGATCTTTAGTGGTTAGTGGGGCTAGTGTTTTTAGTTCTTCAAAAGTTCTGAGTGTGCCTGCGTAGTATAGCTGGTGATATCGTTGCACTCCCGTGTTTTCGATGCCCCTGAAGTCCCTAGCTGTCAGGCCGGGCGGGAATGCGTTGTTGCGGAAGTATGGTGTGAGTGGTGATACTGGATGTGTTAGAGCGTATTTGTGGGCTGTAGAATCCAATATCCTGATTGAGTTCAGGATTTCTGGGCAGGTTGTAGGGGTCGTTGGTCTGTCAGGTTTGGGGGACACATATCCAAAATTGCGGGAGGTCCGTGCTCATAAGCATAAGTGTTTCTAGGTCAACCCACCTGTGGGTATCCGGCGGTGAGTGCCACTCTATTATTTGTGCTAATTGTGCCGATAAGTAGTAAGCATGAAGGTTGGGAAGTCCCAGTCCCCCTCTGCTTTTTTGTGTGTACAGGGTCTGTCTCGCAATCCCGTGCCTCCTCCCGGCCCAAATAAAGTCATCTATGGCAGTTTGGAGTGGTTTGAGGTCTCCATTGGTGACCCGTATCAGTAGTGCCTGGAAGAGGAACAGGAGGCGCGTTAGTAAGTTCATCTTTATACTGTGTAGTCTTCCTATCAATGATATGGGTTTGTCGTGCCATTTACCTAGGTCTTTCATCAGGATTGTCAACAAGCGTTTGTGATTTTCAGCGTATAGGTCGTTGGGGTTGGATGGGAGTGCCACACCCAAGTATTTAATTGGCCATCGGCTAAGGTTCAGGTTATAGGTTTGAGCCCGCCAATTGGTGTCTGGGGCATGCCCACCGATTTATCAACGTTTATCTTGTACCCTGAGACGCATTTAAACGCTCTAATAGGTCGAGGAAGCTTGGTACGGAGTTTTTCGGGTCGGTGTGGGTTAGCAAGATGTCATCGGCGTAAGCCGAGACTTTAAATTCCTCCGTCACTACTCTGACGCCTTTTATCCCTGGGTGTTCCCTTATGAGTTTTAGTAAGGGTGCAAGGTCTAAGATAAATAAAAGGGGGGATAGGGGGCATCACTATCGCGTTCCATTTTTGAGGGCAAAGGGGCGTGGTGTTGTTCCAGGTATCAGTATCTGTGCTCTGGGGTTTGTGTATAGGGCGTGAACTGCATTGACAAATGTGTCCAGTAGGTGCATTTTGCATAGTAGCATGAACAGGTAAGGCCATAGGACCCTGTCAAACGCCTTCTCCGCATCCAGGGAGAGGATCAGAGTAGGCGTTTGCTTCCTCCCGACCCTCCATATGAGATCTGCAGCTCTCCCTGTGTTTTCATATAACTGTCTCGTGGGGACAAGGCCCACTTGGTCAGCGTGTATGCATCTGGTGAGAAGTGGATTCAGTTGGTTGGCTAGCAGTTTAGCGTATGCTTTGAGGTCAAAATGTATGAGGGATATGGGCCGGTAGTTGGCGATATGTGTGTTATCTCTGTCTGGTTTGGGGATGTCCGCTGTCGAGAGGTCTTGGTGTGGTGTTTCTCCCTCTGTCCATTGTTTGAACATTTTAGTTAGGTGTGGTGTGAGTTCTTCTTTAAAGGTCAAATCCGTCAGGTCCCGGGGCCTTGTTCCCCTTGAGCCCTGCGATAGCTACTACTACTTCGTCCAGTTCTATGGGCGCTCCTAGAGGCTCTATCAGGCTTGTGGAGAATCTCGGGAGTTGGGTTTAAGAATGTCATGAGCTCTTCCATGTACTCATTGTTGGCTTCTGTCAGGGTAGGGGAGTGGTTGTATAGCTTGGCAAAGAATTGTGTGAACTCGTCATTGACGTCTGTGGGGTTGGTAAGGATCATTCCTTGTTTGTTTCTGATGGCTATTAGTGAGGTCTTATTTGTTTTGGGTCGTAAGGCTCTTGCTAGGAGAGTGTCCATTTTATTGGAACTCTCGTAAAAGAGTCTTTTCGTGTGGCATATGTCATTGCTGACTTTGTCAACCATCAGTTCCCTGATCAGTCGTCTAATTTCATTTAGGTCTCTTGTTGTGGTTTGTGTGGCTGTTTGTTTGTGTTGCAGTTCCGTTTTGCATAGTTGCTTTTGTAATTCCATTAGCCTTTCGTATTTTTTCTTTTTATGGTGTGTTGCCAGTTTTATGAGGAGGCCTCTGATCACAGGCTTATGGGCCGCCCAGAGGGTTGTTGGGGAGATGTCAGGGGTATCATTAGTTTGAAAGTAGTGTGCGATCTCTTGCCTAATACTCTCCTGTATCTGTGGGTTCTTAAGGAGGGAGGCGTTCATCCGCCACTTCCAGGGTGTGTGGGTCCCAGCGGTTTTTAGAGTGATCTCTATGTCTGCATGATCTGACTAGGAGATTACGTTTATTGCGGTGGTCTTGACCCATTGCATGCCCAGCCGATTCGTGAGGAAGAGGTCTATGCGGGAGTAGGTGGCATGGGGGGCAGAGTAGAACGTGTAGTCACGCTCACTTTGGTGTTAGATTCGCCAAGGATCCAACAGTCCTGTGTTAAGTATGAATTTGTGCAGAAGTTTGTCCTGTCCCGTGTTGTGAGCGCGGGAGGTGTTGTCCTCCTCCCCGGTCTGACGCCGGGCAGGGTGTCGTATTAAGGTCCCTTCCCAGTATCAAGATTCCCCTCGGGAGGGTGTGTACCATTGTTTCGAGGTCTGTCCAGAACTCTGGTGTGAGGGAGTTTGGTGCCTAGACATTCACAAGGTGGTAGGTGTTGGAGTGGAGTGTGCCCAACAGTACCACGTACTGGCCTTCCAATTCGGTTTGTACACTAGTGACCTGTATAGGTCGTTTCTTATGTATGAGTATCTCTACTCCATTTTTTTTATAAGGGCCCCATGATGCGTATGCTCTTGTGTATATGTGGTCTGTTATACTTATTCGTGAGCTATGTGGTATGTGTGTCTCTTGCACGAATGTGATGTCGGCCTTATGGCGTCGTATTTCTCTCAAAAGTAGTCTGCATTTAGTGGGTATATTTAGCCCGTTCACGTTCAGTGAGGTTATTTTTAATACCATGTCTCGTTGTGGAGTAGTGTGTGCCGGCTTACCCAACTTGAGACGGGTTGTCAGTCTATTCCGTGTTCTTGACTGGACCCGTGCCTTACACCCCGGCGAGTGTGTCCTCGAGGCCTAGCCTGTGCCAGGATCCGGGAGTGTGGGAAGGGCTGAGGGGAGGGGTGGGGTGGGCGTAGAGTGGGTAGAGATGGAAAAGTGAGAGGTTGTAGTGGGTATACAACCTAAGAAAAAGCAGATGTACAAGTTAGATATGCAAGCTAAAAAAAAAACATTGATCTCTTATTTCACCAACTGTCTATAAGCAATACAATATCTGTGTCTGTTTGGTAATGCGACTATAAAGGAATTAGAAAACTGCAAATTTCCAATTTTTCTCTATTTTAAGAAGATATTGTCATGAAATGTGCTATTTTTTTGTTTTGTTTTTTGCAAGCTTGGTAATTGAACCTAAAATATGTTTACCCTGCCATGATACTGTTCACGCTGTGTAAGATTTTAATGCACAGAAATGTATGCATGTCACTGGATCTTTAATTTGGTGTTTCAAGTGCAATCTTGAGTGAATAGTTTTAAATAATACGCCTTTAAGTTGGGGATTTGTTTTAACCACAGTAGACAGTGATAAAGCACCATTCAGATCCTCTGTTAAATCTTGCTGGATCCTGCCAGATCTGGTTCTTTATCCTAAGGATACTTTTTTTTCTTTTTTCCCAAGGGGATGGTTTGTTTATCCAGAGCCTGCCAGGAACGAATGCTTGACTTTTGGCCTTTCGGCTATAACAAAAATCACATCTTGGTCTTTAAATCTCATTGTGATACTAGAGTGACTTCTGAGATCCTTTACATTTGGAAATTGGCTGATTAAAATAAATGGATACTTCTGTAAAAAGATGCATGAAAACGATTTAAAAAAACTAGAAACCTTGTTTTGTGCATCTTCTCTGGGTCTCCTGAGATTATATCTTTCTGGGATTGTTAGCTTTGCAAATAAAGGTCATGCGTACATGCTAAAATTAACTCATGTAATGTGAAGTTTACTTAAAAATGTGGATCACATTATAGATTTGGTATATATGGTTTTTGTTGTTGCTAATCAGATGCCTACACATTGTAGCAGGAGTAATAATAATAATTTATTTAAGGAACACTACAGAGTTGGGGACTAAGGCACTATATATGCTTGTATTCCTGTTTAAATTCAGCAACAACCCCCACCCCCATGACTTGTAAAAGAGATTGAGAAAAAAAAGTTGTACTTACCTTTATTTTCCAGCACCAAAACTCACTCTGTACTTCCGCCTGCTCCACCTCCCGAAATGTTATCCTCATCCTCATATAGAAGCATTGGGAACGAGATGCAAGTGCCGTATGCCCAGGACCAGTGCACACATTTTTGGCTAGACAGGAAAAGACACTTTTTACTGCTCCCTCCAATAAAACATTGTTTTAACCTGCATGTCCCGTAACCCCACTTTTGAATTTATTATGCCCTTTAGTTGTTATCCTCTCTTTTCAATGTCTTACCCCATTTTGCCCCTTTGTGTTTTACATCCTTTAAGTGTATTTTATCTCCCCTTTTTTGTGTATTACACCCCATTGTGTATCTCTTACTTACCCCTCCCAACCCTTTTGTGTGTCTCTTACTTCCCCCCCATCCCCTTTGTGTGGCCCTTTTTTACCCCAGCCCTAGTCTATGCCTCTCCCCCCCGTTAACATTTTGTGGCCCTCTCTCCCCACAGCCCATTTTGTGTCCCCCACCCCCAGTCCCTTTGTGTGTCTCTTTCCTCCCCAGCTAAACAGAAATAGATATACAGGCAAAAATACATACACGCACAAAGACAAAAACATACATACAAACAGACATAGTTGTTCTTTCACAAAGATATACAAACACAGTCAATAAAAGGCACACACTCATACCAGCACAGATATACAGGCACACTGTCATACAGAGAAAGACATACACAATCATACAGAGACATACAAACACAGACATAGAGACATGAGGCATAAATGGACACTGGCATACAGACACAGGCATACATACACAGTCCTACAGTCACATACAAAAACAGGCATACAGAATGTTACATACACAGGCATATAGAAACATATAGACGGGCATACAAAGATATACAATGGCATACAGAGACATACAGACACACACAGGCAGGCATACACTGACATACAGACACCGTCCTACAGAAACATACACACTCACTGGCATACAGTCACAATTACATCTCCACTCTGTGCAATTAGGTATCTCAGGAGCATGCTGTCAGCTCTGTGGAATTTCCAGCAACCCAGCCCAATCACTAGGTTCCAGCCTAGTACACAGGGAGCAGGAATATGGCATGATCCATATCCCCGCCCCTCACACACAGCCTGCGGCGTTCACCAGAGCCAGAGGCTGGGCAAGTGACCAGCAGAAAAGAACTGTGCTGTGCCCTTCCCTCCTGCCAGTCACTCAGACATTGCACCCCACCAGCCAGTGAACCCCAAGGTGCCATTTTATGGTAGTTTTGGCTCTCCATGTACCTGTCCAGTCAAACGTTTCTCATAGGGAAGCATTGAATCTAATACTTCCATATTAACTACATGTGACAAACGTTCCATCCCACGTACGTTTGTTATGGACTCCTGGAGGAGTGTAGAAGCCAGCCTCCTGCCCAGCAGGCCCCTGGATTTACAAATATGAGCTTGTAGCAGGAGGCCCTCTGGACAACTGAACCTTTTGGCAAAGGTCACCAGACTAACACAGATCCAGACCGATTGGAGGTCTAGGGTCTGATTAGTCTCCCCGGGAGTGGGAAGATCTGTGACAAACGCTCCTTCCCACGTACGTTTGCCACAGATTACTGGAGGAATGTAGATGCCGGC